TCGTACGACGAAAATCAGATGCAGTGTGAATGCAGCATTAGGGTGCGTTTCGGTATCAAACTCCATGTATCGATGCAAAATATCGCGTATTGCAAAAATATCGATACTGATAATATCGATCCGGTATCGTGCGTCCTTCCCTTCAAGGGAGTCCTTTGGGCTGCCCGATGCGGTCCACTTGACGCTACAAACGCTTCGAAACATTCTTTGATTAGTCAATTCGTAAAATTCTTTGTCCTGGTTGATCGCTCAAACGCTTCGCGTCAAGTGCATCGAAGCCTTGATCCCTACATGAATTAACACGTGTTATCACTTATCAGTTAACACGGAAATGCTACGGAAATTCATGCAATGAGCATGAATTTATTGTAACAATAAAAATCGATATTGACTGAAAAATTGTGAAACTGTTATCACGCGAAAATGAATGAGAATTTGCTAAGACGAATGAAGAACCAATTAAATGCAAATTTTTATATGATGAATAACGCGTGGCTAAGAGATTGCATCGAATTCTTTATTAGGGATAAAGTTTCTCATGAAGTATGTTACGAATTATTGCCAAATGTTATTGAATGCGTTTTGCATAATATATCAGTTTAACTTTATTTAATTCGGTGAACGACGACGATAAAATGTTACATTATATACATAAAACGAAATGCGTCGATTTTTATTGTTTTATATGTATCTTTATTAATTAAAGTTAAGGAACAGCAACATGTAATTATTTTGAGCCTTTTGACGAGGAAATGTTGAGCGAGAGAAATGTTTTTATTACAATTTTTAACTCGTAACTCATCAAACGAAAGTCCTTATAATTTGTGCTTTAATAAGAATCAAAATTACAAAGATATTTGAAAGATACTTAATAATTTGTCACTTTGTACTCGGTTTAATGTTTGAAATATATTTGTATCGCGTGCGAAATCAGTTTGTAAAAAGTAACAGTAGTAAAAAAGAGAGCTTATTAATTGTTAAGCAATATGGAACCATTGTGTATGTGTGTGTGTGTGAATTGTTAAAATTCTATAATTGCAGTTGGCAATACAGACAATACTAAAAACTCCAATTCTGTTAAAATTATTTGAGGCAATTAACTTCTGTTGATTATTGTTACAGATGACAGATAAGCATATTTTCGAATTTGTAGAGGGCCAATGGCAACTGAGTGATCTACGGGAGATTAACAATGAAAATGGATGTTTGCCAAGGAATCTAGCTCAGCAGACACACGTTGTATTAACTGGTATCTATATCCTCCAGGTGAGCTCTTTGTAGTATTCCTATTACAGCACATTGCTTACCTTAAACATCCAAATGCAGACCATCCAATATAAGTATAGGTAGACAAGATGTATGATATAGCAAGCTCCAAGTATAAGCAGCTTTGTGAAATTCGTAAAATCGACAATCAGAACTTAGAAGTAAAGGAAGAAGAGCAGCCGATGGAGTGGCAACCCAAAGGCAGAAGAATGATGCAATTTTGTTTAACTGATGGAGTACAGGATGTCACTGCGATAGAGTACACTCCACTTAAACAAATAACTGTACGGCTTTTTCCATTGTTGCAAATGGATGTAGATTACTGTCTTACCCAGATTATCAAATTAAAACATTAAAAATGTTTCTTCGCAGGATATATTACTTCCTGGCTACAAGGTGATGATAATTGGTCCGGTCCATTGCAGACGTGGTGTTATTCTCTTAGAAGACGGCAAGTACAAAGAAGTTGGTGGAGAAGTGGAAACTCTGTTGAAATCCAATGCACTAGAAAATGTCTTGGCAAGAGCTCTGTAAGATTTGGCCCAATTTTCCTTGAGTTTAAAATATTTTTGATCCTTGGCTTTAATTTTTTGATTTCTATGTCTATTCGATTGTCCAGAGGAGAACCCGAAAACCCCGATCCATATAATGATAATGGATTATCCAGGATCATGAATCAGAATGTTCAAAGCACAGCATCTAATTCTAACAACAATGACAATTTTTTCGATGATGACTTTGAAGAAGCTGTTGATTTGGAAGCAGTGACAGCAATTGAACAACGAAGTCAAGAAATTAATGCTGTTCAAGAAAACTTTAGAAATACGTGTAGTCACAAACAAGTAGATAGGAAAGAAACGAATGAGATTATGGAAACGTTGGAAGATATAGACTTTGAACCCTTAGAGGATTGGTAAATATTAAAGACAGTTTCTTAATATGAATTTAATTCAGTAATAATTGATATCGTTTTTAGTTATATAAGGATTTGCTTTAAAATTCACAATTTTTCTGATGACATAAAAGTAAATTTTACCTTGCTGTGTAGTGTCCTCTAATTTTACTAAGTTTACTGTAATAATTTAAGCAATCATTCTAGGTCCAATGATTCCCCAACAAGATCTTCACGGATATCGCGGTCACAAATGGAGACTAAGAAAATTGATAAGGATGATAGAACGACAGTTGAACAAACAACTTCCATACACAATTTTCACAGCAAATTATCGCTTTCTACGAAATCTATTCAGAATCAAAATTTTTCAGAATTTCCTGATGACGATTTTGACTTAGATGATTGCGACATCGTAATTAAGACAAAGTAATCACAGAGGTTCTTTATCCACCTCTATACATCTTCATATTATTTTCGATATTTATTATTGTATCTGTTATTTATTTTCTTATTCAACATTTTTTAGTCAACAAGGTGAAAATCCTTTAAAGAATAAAACCAAAACATGTCTCTCGTTAGAACCCCCTACAAAATTGATGAATCGTAATGTTCCAATAGAAGTTAAGAAAAGTACATTTATGAAAGTGGATGAGATCCAACAAAACGAGAGCTCAATGGTATACAATATTTACAATATAGTATTTTTTTACTATGAATGATTCTTATATTTTTTCTTTTTTAATTGGAACTGCTTTTTCTTCTTATTTAACTTTATAATTTTACCAAAGGTAAATACTTCGAGAGCAATACAGCAAGTACCTGAGACTAAAACTATTTCTGACTTTATCGAGCCTCAACCTCCTCCTAAAATTTGCGATGTCTTGCGTGATGTCTTACGCGAGCCTATCACGGGAAAAATATACAAGACAGTGAAAGGTCAGGTGAAGAACCATTCGACGTTAACGAAACAGGGTAAATGCTGGTCGGTAACAGCACTGATCACGGATTGCACTTCCAGTGTAGAAGTTTGTTTCGATTCTGAGGTACGTGTGAAATAAAACGTGTGAAATAAAATTTCTTAAGGCTTTTATTGCTGTCATTTATTATGGCATTGGAAAAGGGAAATCGTGAGAATCTTTTTTTCTCATTTCTGATTAGTCTACGACAAGAATCCTGACATCGATGTCTTTAACCCTCAGGAGGTCACGGTATATCTGAGATACATACAAAATATATTTGTAAATGTTGTTAAATAGCGACACCATTTACCTATTGGATAAACAGAAAATTCTGATTTGTCCATTTTCAACCAGAATTAATCAATAATTAATCCAATCAGACTTTTTTCCAGTGTTGTTATTTCAATAAGACATTTTTATGCATTCACTTTATTTTTTTTTTTTGCAAAAAATGCAATACTTATTTAAGATATTTGTATTTCTCAGATACACCGTGATTTCCGTTATATTAAGGATCGCGACCTCCCGAGGGTTGATAAACGTGAATTACTGAAATGCTTTTAGATTCTGGAGGGTTTTCTCGGATTCACCGTACAAGAATTTTTGCAGAAAAAGAAACTTGCCAAGTTAGATCCTCAAGTAAATAGCGAACTACGATTGGTAAGATGGATATATATTCATGATATAGTAATTGTTAAGAATAATACTCTGTCAAATCTAAATTTTTTAGAGTCTACGCAAGGCACAACATAAGATTCAGAATTTGGATGCATTGTTGAAATTGGAATTGGTTCATGGTCAAATGCCCAAAATCGTTGGTATCACGCAGTTGACTACACAACAAAAGGAAGACTTTACGAAAAGACCTACATGAAATATGTAAATTGCGGGAGATTACTTGATAATTTTTCAGAATTCAAAAATACTTTTTATAAACTAGCATAATGCTGCAGTCAAAACTATAAATAATAATCGCAAAAAATTGTAATTTTAAGTTAGATTTAGGAATTAATTTATAAAATATTTTTGTACAATTTATGATAAATGTTACTTGTAATAAATAAAAGAATTCAACAGTTGGCATAAAGTGAACATACGATGTCATTTTCCTATATGTTCTATTCTATTTCGGACATATCTATCTTAAAATCTGATTTAAAACATTAAAAATTAGTTTCTTTACGCATAAAAAAATTGTCGCTGATCAAAAGAGAACAAATTCTGATTAACGAATTGCATGATCATAGCATTTATTAACTAGTACATACAATTGATCATCGCGCAGTGGTACACTTTTGTCTCAACTCATTGTTTACTCTCATTTACTTTTTTCTCTCACTTATTCATACTTTTTTGTCACTCACACGCAGTATATTCTCTCTCGCATTCTTGTTTTCTCACTCATTCAACGTGATAACAAGTTCACAATTTTTTTCAATTAATATCGTTTTTTTTTATTGTTACAATAGATTTACGCTTATTGCACGCTTTTCCGTGATATAAAATTCATTCCACTTTCTCTCTCTCTCTCTCACTCCCTCTGTTTTCTATTCTCACTCTCTCGAGATATAAAATAAATTGTTGAAACACGTCGCACCGATGATTCTGTCTCTAAGGAGGATCTGCAAATAAATTGTTTAAATAACAATAATTTAAATATAAATATCAACGCAATATGTCTCGTGAATTTCTACAATTGTCGACATTGGGCTTTTCTCTCTCTCTCTCTCTCTCTCTAGTCTCCCTTGATCCTTTCCTTCTTTCCGTTTTGATGAGCGTAACGACGACGTCGTTTCTTGTCAGTGGCATCAGTCTGCCTTTCGTTGATCTAACTAAAGTTTGTCCTTTGTAAAATAACATTCTCGCAATAACTATTATCGTAGGAAACGCACATTGACTGCTTCGAGCCTTCGAGTCTTCCGACACTGTAGAACTCCCGAATTCGCGAGTTACCGAAGACACGGATCCTCGGAAACTTACATATGTATGATGATCTTAATATTTTATCTTATCGGAAATGCTTGATCGGTGTAATTAAATTTAAGAAAATTTAACTAAAATTCTCGAATCTCTGTAACCTTAACTAATAGAAGCCACTAAAGTTAGATCCTGGATACCTTGAATCCTGGGAAAGTCGAGATCATAAATAAGTCACTACTTCGTATCCTTCAACTAGAGCTTGTATCTTTACGTGTTCTAATGTCTTATATCATAGCAATTTGAGTCTCTGAGTTTGCAAATCTATGGATTCTCGGAAACGCTCTAATCCTTCAAAATTGAAAATATTTTGAAGCAATTATTTTGAAATTTTCAGTTCTTTGAAATTTCGAGTTTTTTGATTCTTTTAGAATCTCAGATTTATAAAACTCGAAATCTACATTTTCTTCAGTTCGATAATCAAAACAAACTGTGATGATTGATTCTAATTTTTTTGAGGCTTTTCGAATTCTAGAAAATTTTGATCATACGAATTTGAAATTTCCAGATCTATGATATAATAACGGGCGTTTCCTCGAGTCGTCGATAATCGTGGATTCTTGGTATCTCGGATCTCAGGCTTTCATGAAATTTTCGGATCTTTATGGATCCTTAAAACTCGCATAATGCTCTCTCATTGTCTCCCGACTTCTCTACAGAATGATGAGCTTTCGAGGAATTAGTTTTCGAGGATGTTCGACGAGCGTCGTCATGTCCGAGTCTTCCTCGGCCGGGACGATTTTCTGCAGTTCAACAGTACATGAGAGGCGCAGATCGATCACCAAGACGGCGGTGGTGTCCTTGAGATCATTGGATCGCTTCTATCGATCGCAAATATCGCCGTATATGAAACGCGTGGGAACTCTCACGGTTGCTGCCTTAGTATCATGTTAAAATGTGTATTTTATATTATTGTGTGTGTGTGTGTGTGTGTGATTGTCAGTGTGTGTGTGTGTGTGTGTGTGATCAGTTCGCGCACACGGTATACTAATACATATCGATGAAACTGCCAGAGATGAGAAAAGCAGAACTCTAACGGAAATTTACCTACATAATCTCGTCGTCTCAACAATACGGCGCTTCCGACAATTAATGTGGCGTGTACATGAGTGTATGTTTTCTGCGTGTATGTGTATTACGAAAGGTGGCTTCAGGTGGTTTACCAAAAGGTATAACCGCCCTCCGTTCCTCCTCCCAGGAACGAGCCCTTCTTTTGCGAAAGGGCCACACTATGGCCGGCCATCGCGGCCAGCTGCGCAGCGTTTGCAGCCACTCCGGGTGGCGGTGGTGGCAACACCGGTTGCGAGATGCCGTCGAACCGGGTACCGTCAAAACCATTCTGTGAAATAAATATTAAGAATATCAATAATTAGAAAAAGGTCTTGGAAATGAGCTTCGATATCTTTCTTAGGGTCTTAGCAGAAATAAGGCTGATTTATAATTTTAAGACAGTGTTTTATGACTCTCTCTCTCTCTCTCTCTCTCTCTCTATCTCTCTCTCTCTCTCTCTCTCTCTCTCTCTCTCTCTCTCTCTCTCTCTCGTCTTATGTCTTTAGTAACAAGAACTGTCTTATATAAGTAATCCAGTAATCGTTGCACTTTACTACAGGATAATACTACAAGAACACGCAACACTACAACAATATGACACAAAACAATTTAAACGATATATGTTCGTCTTCACTTTTGTCTGACTTGAACAATAATGTTAACAATAGAACTGCTAGGGTACGTTGAAATTAACGTTAACCAGAATTCTGGTCATGTTTGGTAATGTCTAGTGAATATAATTAGAAATTTGGTAGATCCAATAGGAAAATATCAAACAAATCCTTATAATATAATCTATCAATCGTTCTAGTTGTAAAATCTCAAATCCTGTCATAATAACCAGAAATTTTGTTTGGTTTAACCGAAATATATTTAATCATCTTGTTGATATAAGTAAACCATTTTTCTCAGTAAAGTGTATGCAAGCTACGAAGTAGTGCATAATAAATACAGAAATCATGCGTATCAGCATGACGGTATTCATAGTTAATTTTTATATTTGAGATTGTCTTAAGTACAGTCTAAGATGTCATAAGCGAATTAGAGGGCCGTAGCATCTTAAGATATTACTTAAGACGGTCTTATAATAAGAACAAACAATGAATACCGCTCATAGAGCATGGACTGCGCCATTCGTATTTAAATAGTATATCAAATGTGGTCAACAAAAATGAGAGGAAGCATGAAGACGGCCAATCTCCTCTTTCTAACATATTGTGATTGGCTGAATAGAAAGAGATAGAGACTTCATATCCTATCTCTCATTTTATTGATAAATGTTACACACGAATGGCACAGTCCATGCTCTACGTCTTCGGCATTTCAATGGCATGAATGTATTTTAGAATGCATCAGAGCAAGCATACGTGTATGCTTATCATAAAAGAAATTGAACAACATCGTGCGACTCCAGCTTATTTTATAACAAATTCATTTTTTTATAATTATTCATGAGATATTGTTATTTTATTGCATGTTTACTGAATTCGTTCATAAAATACCTTAATACAAAACTATAATAAAATAGATGTAGAGAAGACCAGGGATACTTGATACATGGGGCACATTTATTATATTACACTCAAAATTGCTGTAAAACAACAAACGATAATATTATATAAAAAATACAGTATTTCCGTAAAAATATTGCGGTCATGCTGCAATAAGTTATTTCAGACTGTATATTTTCAGAAATAGAAAATATTTTCGGTTTTTCATAGCCAAAAGTAAAATAAATCAGGGATATATTAAGTGTCATATTTATCAATCTGCTCATCATATCATAATTTCAACTATTTCTATAGAATTCTTATTGGTAATACTCCAGATCAGGGGACCCCCGCAATGACCTTGACCTTGACATATGTTGTCAAGGTCATGACCCTGAGTGACCTTCAACAAGTTATTCGTTAAAAAGTTATTAGCAAAAAAAGTTTAAAAAAATAATGTCTCATTTCTGCTATAACAAAAGTTGTAAATCTATGTAGACTCTCGCTTTGTGTTGTAAAGTGTATGTGTGGATACAATGGGATTCGCTCCCCCTGCAAAGGGGTGCCCGACTTCCATAATTGTACTGTCGCACATGGATTTTGAGTTCTCACGCGAAGCGATTTTCACCTCACTTCCCCCCCCCCCTGCAAAGGGGCGCCCGACTTTCATAATTGTACTGTTGCACATGGATTTCGAGTTCTCACGCCAAGTGATTTTCACCTCACTTCCCCCTCTACAAAGGGACGCACGACTTCCATAATCGTATTGTTTGCAAGGGGGGAAAGTGAGATGAGAGTCGAGGGTGAAAGTTGTGCGCTCCTTTGCAGGGGGAAGGGCGAATGGGGTTGAGAGAGAAAGTCATCTAAAATTTGTTGGAAGTCTTTCAGGGTCATGACCTTGACAACATATGTCAAAGTCACAGTCGTCGGCGCGGCGTCTCCTACAGTGCACAACTATTAAACATATTTTAAAGCAGAGAATTTTCATGTTATATAGTTGAACTTCTTTTGTTAATAACTTTTTAATAATGAATAACGAACGACGACTAAAACTTATTGAAGGTCACTCAGGGTTATGACCTTGACAACATATGTCAAGGTCATTGAAGGGGGTCCCCTAATCTGTAGTATTACCTTTTTATTTTATAAACAACATCTTAGTTATATTGACGTATTAATATATATTTTTTGCATAAGTAATAATTGAAATACATAAATATGACACCCCAGGATTAGTTGTGACGGGATATGTCGTTACAGGTGTCTGCTTCTCCATTGTTATATCTAACCTCAACATAATTTATTGTAAGAAATTCAGAGGAAATAGGCACAAAAGAGGAGCTATTAGCGTCAGGGCTGTATAGCTCAGTGG